CCATGGGAAAGGGGAGGGCAAGGGAGGGCACACGTTTCCATTTAAGGACCAAAAGTAGCACACATTCTGTCTGCTGGCTTCTCACTGGCCAAAATCTAGTTTCATAGTAATATCCACGCTGCAGTCCTCACCAGAAGCATTGACAAGGATTAGATTTCATAGCCAGTCACCTCCCCAACTGAGCTACACACAGTTAGAACCAAGACAACCTTCTTTCCTTCCTTCTTTCCTCCCTCCCTCCACACCTCCCTCCATTCCTTCCTTGCACTCATTCATTTATTCATTGTATCATTCAACAAGTATTTGACTGTGATATACTGAAAAAAGAAAGGGAAAGATGCAGTCGCTATCTTCAAAAAGCTATAACCTCATTTGGTACTGGATAAGAACCCTGGTCTGGATGCAGTGGGAAGGACATACAGACGGGTGGAGGTGGCAGTGATCCAGATGAGAGGGGGAGGGAGAGGGAGAGAGGGGAGAATGGGGGTTGGACGGTGATCCTAGCTCTAATGCATTTTGGAGAGATAACAGACAATAAAATTCAAGTATAGGAACTAGTTGAACTCATGAAACAGGATCCAAACCATGGCTTTGTGAGAGCACAAATGTAATTGTTTTATTTTTTTAAAGTAACACATTAATACAAATTCTACCGCATGCCTTGTGCAAACCCTTCTGTCCCTTTTATTAGAGATAGTGCCGCGACTTATTTCACTGCTCATTTGGGAGCTAAGTGTATTCAATTATTCAAAACCAATTGCTGAAGGTTGGCTACAGGGTAGGCATGAGGTAGAAGCAAGCTAGCTGTGATCTCTGCCTGTATGAAGTATGCCAAAACTAGTGAAAAAATTGGAGAAGAGTAAATGTTTGCTTTATCTTAGCTCTTCTCTAGCTGAAGAACAAAATGGAGTTTATCACAAGTTGACACCTTTACTACCTTGTAAGCTTGTAATTACTGGTACAATTGTAACACATTTTTAAAAAATTAAAAAGTAAAAAAATACAGACCCCTTAATAGAGTTTGACCTGCTCAATTTAGATTTGAGTCACTTCTGAGTTAAACAAAAGAGGCTGGTGTAGATTATTTATGGAATTTGGTTCCAAGAAAACAACTCAATTTCCTGAAATGGCATTTGTCTGTGACTTCAAAGGGAAACATCTGTATTTCCTTTCCCCAAAATACTCTACTTGCCTCAAGTCCTGTGACATTCAGAGGCCTCCATAAGATGGTGATATAATTTTTTGCATGACAGTCTATCTGGTTTTAAAATATATATATACCTAGAAATATGTGTATAGACACTGTAAAAACAGCATTTTTTCTAAACGAAGATAAAAACATCCTACCGTTCCAGAACTACCATGTTCAATTGGGTCTATTTGCTTCTAGCTTTTGTCAATGTGCATAATTACAGAGGTGCATTCTTTATGTGCATGGCATTTTAGTCTACTTTTTAAAAATTCAACTCAACACAACCGATATATTTTACATATTTCTACATGACCTTCATAATCATTTCAATGGTTACATAATATTCTACTATCTAAACTACTTATTGTTACACATTATGTAGTATCCACGTCTTCACAATTACAGGTAATGCTGGGGTTAATATCTATGGCACATAAACTTTGGGGTATTGAGAAGCAGGTATTGAGAAGAATTTGGGGGTTGAGATTACTGGGCTTAGATACGGATGTCCTTTCTCTTTAACTTTCTAAAGGGCTGTGTATACTTCCTTCAGCAGAGGTTCTGGCTTCTAACCAGTTGCACTAGCCTTATGTTATTATTTTTTTATATCTGAAGTTATCTACCATAACATATTCATTCCACTCTATACATATTTATTCATCCTACTATTCCAGGCTTAACACTGAGCACTGGGACTACAAGAATGAGGAAAATACAGTCAGATGGGAGCCAGGTTGTTCGTTATACAATTACCTAAACAAATGTAGCCCCTCTATCCTGGTGCCATGAAAGAGAGGGACAGGGTGCTCTGTGCCACTTCCAGGGGAGATTGACCTGGTCAGGTGGGTCCTACGCATCCCGAGGATTCACACTGCTGGGGACTTGACAATGTTGTTCTCTTTGTCTAGAACATTCCTTCAGATCTCAGCCCCTGCCTCACCAACCAGCATTGTCTTAGTTTCTGGTAAGGTTGGAAAGCAAATCAATAGCTTGGAGGGGTGATTTGAAAGTGTACTTCTCACACTGTGTGCCCTTGTGTGTGTGAGCATGCGCCCCCGTTAAAACCAAACCTTCACTCAAAGGAGACATCTAATCGTAGTAGGACCACTTGGAACATTTAATATTTTTAAATTAAATTTTTGTTGTGTAAAATACACAAAACCATTTTAATCACTTTTAAGCGTTCAGTTCATGGTGTTAGAGACACTGACATTGTTGTGCAGCAGCATAATGCTTCCGGTTTCTCCATGTGCAGCAGGCCCGAGTTTCCTTCCTCTTTAAGGCTGAGTCACATTCCACAGCATAGATAGGCCAGATTTCGTCTATACGTTTATTGGGTTGCTTCCACCTTTTGACTACGGTGAGTGATGCAACTGTGAACATGGGCGGAGAACCAGCTGCTGGAGACCCTGCTTTCAGTGCTTGTGCATATGTACCCAGAAGGGGGATTGCCGAGTCAAATGCTACCTCTAGTTGGCTGTACTGTTTATAATGTGCTTTCATGCGCATGGTGACCAAATCTGGTTTTTGCAGCAGCTCTCTGAGGTAAGTAGGCGTTAACATCTTCTGCGGCTCTGAAAAGTGGTTTCCCAAAGTGACATGGTAAAGGGAAGTGCCCTGACTTGGGACCTGGCTTTCTCCTGGATTGCTCACCATTAAAAGTGGTGCCAATCACATGTGTCCCTTCCAAGGACAATGTCTTTCTGGTTGTAAGCAGCTTCTTGGTCTTCTACCAGCTTCTACCCTGACCCACCCTGACCATCTGTGCGGGCCTCACCAGGGGTGAGGAGCAGAGGCTGTGCCATGGTCCCCGGGACAAAGGTTCCCCCTTTTGATCTGTGCTTCCCTCTTTCAGTTCAGCTCTGTCATCTGGACCATGAGGATCTGGTGGCTCCTCCTTGCCACTGGAGTCTTCACAGGGAACGTGAACTCACAGGACACGTGCAGGCAAGGGCACCCTGGTGTCCCTGGGAATCCCGGTCACAATGGTTTGCCTGGAAGAGATGGACGAGATGGAGCAAAGGGTGACAAAGGGGATGCAGGTACTTTACCACCTGGTGGCCGTTAGCTGCTGTTCCATTTATCCCTTCATTTCTTTTCCCTCATTCATTCATTCATCACCTGTGCGGTCATCACCTACTCCTCACTCACCCATTGCTCAGCACACACTTACTGAAAGCCTCTCCACACCAGATTCTGGGCCAAATGCCTGGGTGTTTGGACAAGAGCGACAGGAACTCATTCCTCATGGACTTTCTCATCTACTGGGGGAAACCGGTGTTAACCATCATCTCTGCTATTACAGATCATTTTCAGGAGTATATAATGTCATAGATCTTCCTGCCTCAGGTGACAGGACAGGTATGAGGGATCTTTGGCTATAGAGAGACCCAATTGCTAAGTTTGTTTTTTTCTTTATTGATTAAGGCATTACATATATGCCCTTATCCCCCCTTTGCCCCCCCCAACCCCCTGCTCATGCCCTCACCCCCCTGTTGTCTGTGTCCATTGGTTAGGCTTATATGCATGCATACAAGTCCTTTGGTTGATCTCTCCCCTTACCCCTACCCTCCCATACCTTCCCTCTGAGGTTTGATGGTCTGATCGATGCTTCTCTGTCTCTGGATCTGTTTTTGTTCAAACCTCTTGGAATGTCTGCAGCTTTGCGACCCTCCAGTGCCAGGTAGGGACCTTGCTCCAGTTGCCTTGTTCTTTAGACTCTTCCAGTTGAAAGTCGGGCATCAGCCATGACCTCAAACTCCCAGGGTTACATCAGCTTTCTCTAAAATCCGAGTATACTTGGCTCCAGTCTCAAGGCAACATTTTTGCAGCTCAGCACTTCTGGTGGGGTGAGGTGAGAGTCTCACCTTTGGGTGCTCATCTCCTCTCTGATTCAAGAGTGGGTGTGTGTGTTTTATTTACAAATACATGGAATTTTAATTTTAATTTTTTAATTTTAAAATATTTTATATACACAAGAGATAGATGATAAGTAGACAAAGACAAATGCTTATATATCCAGCACCAAATTCGTCTATTTCTCCCTATTGAATCTCTCTCCTTATTCTTCAATGTTATTCATTCTTTTGAGCTTTTCATACTCCTTCAAAGCATATATACATATATATGTTTTTTTTGTTTTGTTTTTTTTAAATATATTTTATTGATTTTTTACAGGGAGGAAGGGAGAGAGATAGAGAGTTAGAAACATCGATGAGAGAGAAACATCGACCAGCTGCCTCCTGCACATCTCCTACTGGGGATGTGCCCGCAACCCAGGTACATGCCCTTGACCGGAATCGAATCTGGGACCTTTCAGTCCGCAGGCCGACGCTCTATCCACTGAGCCAAACCGGTTTCAGCCATATATATGTTTTATACAGAGTTCATACTAGTACATATAATATATACATATGTTTCTCAGAAGTTTATTTAATCATACTTCTCACACAAATAATTAACTTCATTTTTTTCTTCAAATATATTTTTGTGGGTTTAATAATGAATACATTTTTAGAACATTATCTACATGTAATTTATGAATACATGAATGCATATTAATTAGAGTACATGTCCATTCTTTGTGACTTGGAGGTGTACATCATGAAAGCTTTGAGGCCACTATTCCAGACAATGGAAGAACTGAGACTTAAGCAGAGAAACGAAAAAGAAGTAAGAATAGGAAGACGTATACTTCTGTAGTGGGCTGGTGAAGGGAATTGAGAGGGAAGGAAAAGGAAGTAAATGTAGGGGTGACTGCTGCTCAGAGACTCCCCAGTATTCAGGGTCTGCCTGAAGTCCCAGGAGACCAGGCATCACTGATATAAATATGCCCATGTCAGTCCTTTGTCGGGACCAGGAAACTGCCCCTCCCTGTCCCTTTCACCCCACAGCTGGGTCCGTGGACCTGAAGTCTGGGGTGTCTGTTGCTATGGGGGATGCCATCTGGAGTGAACCACATCCTAGTAAGTTCTTCTACTGCCATGCCTAAATTTACAACATGGAGGGTTAGAGCTCATGGAAACCTGTTTCCAGAATAAGGCCTTATGTGTGTTCAGCAAAACCTCACTCACTTGATGTTCCTAATGGGATCTGCCATGCCAATTGATCAGTGATATTTTCCATTACTCTAAAGCACTGGAGAGATCCTTCCAGAACCCTCCCTTCTATCCCAAATCATGTTGTGTAACCATAGTCATCTGTGTTTTTGCAGTAGGCTAGTAAACCTTCCACCCCACTCTCCACAAGAGTGATAGAAAAGGAGGAGGGAGACCCAAGAGGGCAGCAGAGTAGGTGGAAGTTATATTTACCTCCTCCCAGGTCCAAACTGGAATTACAACTAAATTATAGGACAATCAACCTGAAAAACCAACAAAGACAAGGTGAGCATGTCTTATAACCAAGGATTTACAGAAGAAGCCACATTGAGACTGGTAGGAAGGGGAAAGACAAGAAAAGGTCAAGAATCTGAAAGGATATCTTAGTTTCAAAGGTTCCTCCTAAGAAGCATGGATCTCAACCCAATGCTGGGTTCCCCAGCCGGGAGCACCAGAGGAGATCACATAACACCTGGCTGTGAAAATCAATGAGGATTCTACCTACCAGGGAGAGATAGAAGTCTGCTAGAAACCCAGGTGCACTCTTAAAAAGACAATGCACCAAATAACATTCATGACCACACACCCCAGACTCCAACAGAGGGAGGATGGATCAGAGTGGACTGAAGTCATTTGTGGTCAGACAAGTTTGTGTGTCTCCCAGGAAGAGAACTAAAGAAACAGCTGCCAGGGTCCCTGTGCTGAGTCCCTTTCCCACACCACCTACAGATGCCATCTTTCCTGGGTCAAGCACTCTCCTCCATATGGCATCAGCCAGGAGGAATGCACTGTCCTTACCCTTCCAACTCCCTGTTGCCCCACCCTGTGGAGGACTCAGCTGCCTGGACCCATGGTGTAGACTTTCTTGGAGGGCTCTTGAGGGCAAATTTAAGGGGTGTCAGAGACCAAGTTGTGTGGCTCTAGGGTAGAGACTATTTCCCTTCCACATGCCTGACCAGCGCAGCCCTCCCCCTATTGGAGATCCACTAAACCCACCCACCCAATTCTCAGTGTCTTCACCTCGCTGAGCTCACACTCTGCAGAGGAGTTAGTTGGCTGTGGTCAGCTTAGGACTTCAGTGCAGACTCTTTTTGGAAGGCTCTTGAGGAGAAGAGACTGAGTTGTCTGACTCTAGGGTAGTGCTATTTTTCACTCATCAGTCCAACTGGCACTACCATTCCTGTGCAAAGCCCTTTCTTCATATTGTCGAATCTTGGCCTGTTTGGGCACTGTCCACACCCAGACAACTCCCTGAGACCCTGCTTCACCACGAAGATCCCCAGGCACCCAGCAAGAGGTGGCTGGCTGTGGTGTACCCTGAGACTTTTGCTGAGTGGCTTCAGTCGCAGCACTGGCACCGAGTTTGAATCTATTAATTTGGTGAACACCATTCATGCCTACATGGTGATTCACTGAGAACCTACCTCATGCAGCTTCTGTACCACCAGAGGCCCTTTCAGCAACCGAGCCTAACCAGCAACAGGCAAGTGGAAGCTGATGTGAGAGTGCATTGGGGCTTTTGCTGATCTGCCTCCAGGCTCCATGCTGGTGGAAGCTGCCCTTAGTGCACAGGTTGGACCCACCCATTCACACCCAGGCCCAGCAGAGGCAGCCACAAACTGTGGATCACTTTGTAGCTCCAAACATGTAGCCTAGGGCTGGTTATAGGCAATGTCTGATATTGAACTGCATCCAAGTCCCTCCCAGGAAGCCCCAGAGCCAACACACCCAGTGGCAGGATTCAGACCACATCAAAGCATGAGCCAATTAGCTGCACACCCAAAGTGAGATCTCAGCAGGGACCAGACCCTTCTGAGGCAAATTCTTCTTCATGGGGTCAGTCCTCACATAGGAGCTTATAAACTGTGGTCGGAATCAATTTTCATAGGTAACCCGAGAACCAACCTCACCCAGAGACTGACCAACACCAACCAAAACTCAACTACTATAGCAAGTTTCACATAACACACATGAGGGACATTCTTGGAGCATGTACCACCTACGTGATCAGGGAGACAGCACCACTGAGCCCACAAGACACCTACTACATAAGGCGTCCACACCAAGACTGGGAAGCATAGCAGATCTACCTAATGCACAGAAACAATTACAAAAAAAATGCCAAAAATGAAAAAATAGAAGAAATACCCAGGAAATAACTAAATGAAATGGAGGCAAGTAATCTACCAGATACAGAGTTCAAAACAATAGTTATAAGGATGTTCAAGGAACCTAGAAGAAGAATTGATGAGCTCAGTGAGAACTTAAACAAAGAGATAGTAAAGATATAAAAAAATTCACAAAAATCATAAAAAAAGAACTAGTAAAAATGAAGAATACAATATCTGAAATGAAATCAACAGCAGATTAGATAAAGTGGAGATTGAATCAGTGATTTGGAAGACAGGTAGCAAAAAACACCCAATCAGAGCAGAAAAAAGAAAAAAGAATTTCTTAAAAATGAGGATAAGTTTAAGGGATCTATATGACACAATGAAGTGTAACAACATTTGCAATACAGGGATGCCAGAAGGAGAAGAGAGAGAGCAAAAGATTGGATCCTATTTGAAGAAACAATGACTGAAAACTTTCTTAATCTTGAGAAGAAAAAAGACACACTAGGCCTGGATGTACAAAGAATTCCAAACAAGATGAACCCAAACAGGCCAATACTAAGACACATCAAAATTAAAATGGCAAAGGTTAAAGACAAAGAGAATCTTAAAAGCAGCAAGAGAAAGACAGTTAGTTTCCTACAAGGGAGCTCCTTGTCAGCTAATTTCTCAACAGAAACATTTCAGAACAGAATTAATTGACTCAAAATATTCAAAGTGATGAAAAACAAAGACTTACAATCAAGACTACTCTAGCTAGTAAGGCTAGCATTTAAAATTGAAGAAGAAATAAAGAGCTTTCCAGACAAGAAAAAGCTAAAGGGGTGTATT